CTCATTTTCGGGGTCCGAACACGGCTTTGCAGTGCGCTTGCAGGCTATCCATAATTTTTCGTGAATTTTTCTCGCTGGCGGCGGCGAGTCGCCTCGGGTTGGCTGTTTTCGGCCGTTTTCGGCCGAATTCGGCCACACTCGCATCGGTCCCTGTGAGAAAACAACCCTAGGGCCCTCGGGGGGCCAAAAAATCACGAAAAAACGGAGCTTACCGGCGGCGGCGCTCTGGGGTGCGGCGGCTCTCCGGCGAGGTTCGTGTTTTGGTGATTCGGCTCCGGTCAACCTGTAGAGAAAAGAATGGTGATCACGGTGATATAAAAATTGCATCAAACGGAGGCCGGAAAAGGCCTCATCGGAGGCAAAAACCGAGAGGGGGCGCGGCGTCGCTGCTGGCCTTCGGCCGCGTATTCCGGCCGTTTGGCCGGGATTTTGGCTCCGATTTGGCCACAAGAGGAATCAGCGTGGAAAAACGAGTCGGGGGTATGAAATTTACCTCGATCGGCGGTCGGAAATTTCCCCGGCGCGGCGGCGGGTGGCGGCGGCCGGCTTCTGGTTTGTCTTCTCCGGTGAGCGGCAGGCGGCTAGGGTTTGTGGTCTGGTGTGGGGGTTCTATTTATAACCCCTTGCCTTTTGATCTCAGCCGTTTATTTTGTTTTAATCTGGGCCGTTCGTTTTTGATTGAATCTGAGCTGTCCGTGCGATTGCATCTGGGTCGTCCGATTGCGTGATTGATCTGGGCCGTCCGATCGCACCTACGCGGATCGCCAACGTGGCCCCTTTTCGGAGCAATGGGGTCTTGCCACGTGGCAGGCCCCGGTTGGCCGGGACTGCTGACGTGGCTGCCGACGTGGCCCCTTTTTTTTTTTTCTCCTCTTTCTCGGTCCGGGCGCTACAATTTTTTAAAATTTTAGCAACAAAAATCCTAAAAGAATTGGGAGCAGTCGGTCAAGGAAGGTAGGAGAGGGTGAGTAGCTACGTGAGCTCACTTTGGGTGACATACCATCGTCGATCCAAAGGTAAATTATTTATCTTAGATGACTTTTATTCATTTTAATCTTAAACCCGAAGATATCCTACGCTGAATGTCGAGGTAACATAAGGTTTGTCGACTCATTTTGTGCAGATAACAGATAAAAAAAAGATTCACCGCACTGCGATCACCGTTCATCCCAAAATTTAGGGAAAAGTACAGTAGTTTACACTCTCAATCCCTATATCTAAGTTAATATGATTTATTTGAGTTCATTTCTTATTATAGAATTGTGATACTGATGATTTTGGTGATTATTACTAAGTGATTATGGGATTAATGAATGAAATAATGCAATGATCGAAAGTTTGAAGTGATGATGTCAGCTGGGATTGACTTAGAAATGTTGTAGTAATTTTTAGAGGTTGAAGAAAATGGTTTTCCGAATGGCTATGGGATGATCATGAACTATATCTCATGGACTGCTTATTGCTCCGTAACTACGACCGTAGCTATAACTATTTACTTGGAGAACGATGTGAATTATAATTATGACTGTAACTATAATTATATCTCTAGGAGACGATGTAAAATCGTAACTATAACCATAACTATTACTTGGTGACGCTATGATTTGGTCCATGTTGATAGTGCGAATTATCATCTCCTTCTGTGATTGTGACTTAATAATGTTATGTGATATGATAATAAGTCTATGTGCGTATGTGATTGGTTGTATTTGTAAATAATGAAAATATGTTGTTACGTGAATATGTACATGAGATAGGATATTTTACTTGTTTAAGGAAAGAGATTTTATGTGTGAATGTGTTTAGAAAAATGTACTTATATATGTGATACGTATTTAAGAAATGATATTTTATGTGTGGATATATATAATTAATAAGAATATGATATTGCATTTACGAGATTGTGAATAAATCAAAAGTAATTTATGAGAATATAGTTACGTAATAGTGGATACTTTATGAACGATTTGAAATATATGGGAAGGAAATATACTTTATATGTGGATATAAGCAATCAAGGTGATTATACCCTTATGCAATTGAGATTGAGAAATTATGGATATCTTTTGAATGAAATGATGTACGTGTAAGTGAAAAACATATGATCGGTAAAATCAACGATGTTGTCTTAGGACGTGAAAATCATATGGTTGTGAAGGACGTGATCAGCTATAGATAAAGGTAATAATTCAAATCAATATGTTATTTTCGATATCTGGATCGGAGTCTTCAATTATTCTTATTAAGCAAGTGGTGACTGACTCTTTTTTTATAAATTTCAGAACATGGAGTGTAGGACCAAGCGGAAGAATCGTTAGAACAAAGAGATCTTGTCTAAAGGGAATAGAGGATAAAGAGACATTTTTTTTTATGAATTTGATTTTTCAGATTTTAAAAACGTTACTTGATCTCTTAGCTTTCAGTAATAATAGGGAAAAAATTTAAATACCCTACTATAGATTATAGTTGAAGCATGTTGGAATTAGTTGTGAGAATGACAATCTTTATAGAAAAATATAAATGTTATTTCTTACTTCGATATACATGAATGAAAAGTAACAACCATATTATTTATAAAATTTTAGGTTGTTACAATTGTATTTTAAAGAAAACAATGATATTTTACGGTTTCATCCATGAAAAATATAGTTTATTTCAAATATGAAAATCATTTTCAAATGAATTTTATGTGAAGTTCATTTTGTAATGAAGCCTGATTAGGATTTGATTAAATTAAATGAATATTTTATCACTCAATCTTTGCAAGAAATCAATAATTCACCATGTAATCTTCTTAAATAATATGATCTATCAACAACACAAGGAAAGAAAATAAGAAAATACTTCAACTCCCTTGGAGAGACGCACTCCAAAACCACCGTGAGGAAAAGAGAAACTCTATTAGGGTAATAATAAGGTTTTTATCCACCGACTAAAGAGAATTAAAAAATAAAATTGTTAGGATTTTTGAATAAAAAAGAAATATTTATACCTCAATTCACTCAAATGTATGTACAACATTAATATACTCTATTAACATCCTAGCATATCAAAACGAAACGGTGTATATTGGACTTGATCCGAGTTTGATTTATTTATAGTATTTAATGAGTAAAATTATAAAATTACTAAACATCTTTTGAAAATAACTCAGTCCTAGTATGTAAAAATAAAAGTAAAGATACAAAATATTCTATTGTAATTCTCTCTCCATGTATCCAACACCAAGGGAAGACAAACGAAAAATGAAGAAAGAAGCAATTCTCTGGATAAATTTCTGGTCCACCTTCAATAATGATTGCAGGATTAACATGGAATTTAAATCAGTTATCAATTTCATACAATATAAATACAACAGGAGTAAAATTGATCTGAAATGAAATTTACCTACCAATTTCAAACATCTTCTTGCCATAGCCGACCGTTGACTTGACGGGTCAGACAAGTCAACACTCCAACGTGTTTCATTTTTCAAATAATGCTGCGCATGGAACCCGTTTGCTCATGATTGTTACTACTCATTCTAAAACGAACGCCGCCCACAATCCCTCCGAACTAACTGCTAAACCCACTGTGCTGATTTCAGAATAACCCAAAATATATAAATTATTACAATATTCACACTTCATTGACGTCAAACTACCTGTTCTTAACATGTTTGATGCTAGAAAAGCTTAACACGCAACTATGATGGGGAAAAGTATTTCAGCATTCTCAAGTCAACCACTCGAACTTCTGAATTTCAAGAAAATTAAGTTATGAACCTAGCTCCTCCAACGAACTTTCTTTTCATTTTCCTCGTTGCTATAAAAAAATTCTACCTATAAATTCTCTCTTCTTTAACTTTTGACGCAAAACTTCCCCTTTTTTTGAGGAATTTTTCATCATATATATATATATATATATATAGCAGTTATAGAATATCTTCCATATATTTTATCCAGAGCGAAGCCGAAGAAAGGTGGTGTTGAAATGGGAAGCCCGGTTTTAAGAGTCATGGGTAAGCAATCCAGAAGCTATTTTCATTAATGTTTGTTGAAATTCTGTCACTGAATTATATTTCATTTAATTAAAATCTGACCCATGTCTTCACATTTTAATGATGTATAGCTCTGGTTTCCGTGGACATGCTGGCTGCATATGCTCTCTGGTTGTTAATGGCTTACTTGCTCATCGTATGGAACCTTAATTTTACACATGCTGCTGCCATCATCAATATCTTATGGGGAGCAAGAGATATATTACTTACATTCATGCTATACATCATTGATACTCTTCTGGGTAACTTTTGGATGCTCTTCTTTTCCTCCATCGCATATGCTTCTGTAAGATTAATTTATCTATCCTCCATTTTAATTATCTCCATTTCTCCATACTTCAATTATTATAACTTTTCAGTTCCTTCCTCAGGGTTTGGGATTTCTGTCAATGTCAACCCCATCAGTCCTGGCGAAATCTGCAGGGAACTGCAGAGAGGATAAGCCAGAATGCGTAGGAGAAGAACAGAAAATTCTCTTCTTTTTAGCATTGGCTTTGTTAGCTGTAGGAATGTCAGGTCAGTCAACCTCCATTGGAGGCTTCATGCAAGATCAGGCAGAGGAAACTGAAGAAGAAGAAACGGGAGGTGGAAAAATCTGTTTAGGAACCTGCGGTGTTATCCTTATTCCAATAATTGCAATTATAGTAATAGCCTTAGTAAAACCATGGTCTATAAGGTTTGGGATTCCGGCAATATGTTCATTAATGGCTACTCTGGCTTTCCTCTCCGGCTGTTGTCATTACAAACGTGTTGGTCCCCAAGGGAGTCTTCTCACTTGTGTGTTTAGGGTTTTGATAGCTGCAACCTCCAAGATTATTTACAGACCTCCCAGAGACTCCACACAGCTTTACGAGAGACACGACGATGGCGATTTGGTGCAACATACTTCTGTTCTAAGGTATTACAAGAGAACCCATTTGCCTGTTTCTCATATATGTATATGTATATATTGATTTGAGACCATTAATGACAGGTGTCTAGACAAAGCTGCCATTGTTGTACCAGAAAAACCAGTAGAAGAGCAAGAGAAGAACAGATGGAGACTTTGCAGAGTCAGCGAAGTAGAAAAAACCAAAATTATAATCCGAATGATTCCTCTCTGGATTCCCTTCATTGTCATCGGGCTTGTTTGTTCAATTGGGAACACTTACTTTCTTGTTCAAGCAAACAACATGAAACTCAAGCTTGGACGCATTAAAGTTCCTTTTATAATCCTTCTCTGGTTTTACGACAATGGAAAATCTCTGTTTTCCAATTTGTATGTCGTTATTGTCAGCCTCTTAGGTCAATCAAGACAATACGGTCCTCCATTTGGGGTTGCAGCTTCCATGGTTTTACAAGTTTTGTGTTGTATAACAGCTGCAAAAGTCGAAGATCGAAGACTCGACGTGGTAATCCGCCATGGTTTAGTTGACAAAGTCAACGAAACAATTCCGATGAGCATATTCTGGTTGCTTCCACAGTTTATTTTGCTTGGAGCGGCTAATGGGGTTTTGGAGAATAGTGCATCACAATTTTTTACTGAGCAAGCCCCTCCATCAATGAAGACGTACTTGGTATTACTCACTAATGGCGTCTTTGGATTAGGAACAATAGCGAGCGTGGTTTCTGTGTATTTGGCCGAGAAGATAACTGGAGAAGGAGGAAAGAGAAGTTGGTTTGGAGAGACATTGAACAAGAGCAGATTAGATAATTACTACTGGACATTGGCGGTAATGAGTTCTGTGAATCTGGTTTTGTATATTCTGATTGCAGTTTGTTACTGGCGTGGAAGATCAGAGGAAGATGAGGAAGACGATGAAGATGAGGATGGAGAAGCAGCAGGCGCCGCATATCAAGATGAACTACAGATTGAAATTGAGCTTTGATGTTTTCTCTTGTTGATTTATGCATTTAATTAGTTTTTTAATTGTACCATATGATACTCTCCTAATTCCTTTTCTTTTTTGTATTTTTTTCAATTTTTTTTGCTCAATCATGAAAGAAGCAATGCTCAATGTATTAAGTATTTGGTTAATATGTGTATGTATGTATATATGTATATATAAGTTTGAAAATTTATTAAAATAAATTGTAAATAATCATATAATTTTAATTAAAAAAATTATATTTTTAAAATTATAACTTCTACCTTATAACAACTAATATATTATATTATAAACTAATTTTTTATTAAAATTTTATTAATTATATAACACATACATTTATAATAAAATACTCTCCTAAAATATTTTAGTACAGAATCATATTAAATTTGAAAAAGTAAGTCAACCCTAGTTAAGATGAGTACCTGCACTTGGAATAAAATCCAAATACAGAAGGTCAACTTACCACATCTTTGACCAGACCTTTTCTTCATGATGAATGATTATTGATGGTAACTAGGGCAGATGAATATGTAATTTCCACTAATTACATGTACATGCAGTTAAAAATTATTTTAATAAGTTAAATTGTTTTTAGAAAAAATATCATTATCATTAAAAAACTCCAGTTTAAAATAAATTACTCGGTCGGAAAAATATGAATTAAAGCTAAAAGTAATTTTATTTGTCTTCATTATCAAGACATATGTTACTTAATTAAACGATGTAAGAATTTAATAAGATAAAACACAATTTAAAACGTGCATTAAAGATAAAACATCCTAAATAATATACTACTTCTCATATTATTAATGAATCAAGATAGTCAAGGAAAAATTATTGTTGAATTTTTAATCGATTGTGTAACACCCACAATTTTCTATTTTGAGAATTAAAAATTAATAAATATAAATTTTTATTATTTTATTTTGTTTTATTTAATTTAGAGTTAAAAAATAAAATAAAATATAAGGAGGATTTAATTGAAAATAATTTTAGAAAAAAATGGTGAAAAGTTAGATTCTGTTGATATTTTTAAAAGAAAAATAAAAAAATAAGAGTTAAAACGTAATTTTTGAAAGTTTCGCCACATCAGACGCTGAGTCAGCAGCCCTGACCAACCAGGACGCGCTAAGTGGCAGAGGTGCTGACGCGGAAGGCCACACGGGGGGGGAGGGGTATGTGCGCTATCAAACGGCTGAGGTCTGTTCCTGCGCGCACGGACGGCCTGGATGTGCTCCCTTCCGAACACAATCGAACGGTCAAATTTAAAAGCGATCGGACGACCCATAGTGAATCGTGATGATGGCCTAAATTAGATCGCGATGAACGGTCCATATTCACTTCCTATTTAATCGCGATCAGATGGTTCAGATCAAACGTGATGGACGGCACAGATCAAAAGTGAATGGATATAAATAACCATCATCCGTACCAAACCCTAACCCTAACCGTCAGAACTCCTCGCTGGAGAAGACGATCCAGCCACTGGGAAGCCGATTGCCATGACCTGCCGTCGCACCGGAATACTTTCCGATCGCCAAAAAAAGGTAAAACTTTTTTTTTGCACGAAATTCAATTTTAATCTCACTCATGGCCAAATCGGAGTGAAAAGACCAGCCAATTGGCCAGAAAATATCGACAAAGCCCAACAGTGCCGCCGTAGAGAATTTCACAAACCGCATCCGATGATGCCCTTCCCGATTCCCGTTTCACGTAATTTTTCTACCTTGTGATCATCGTTTTCTTCTTTACAGGTTGACCGAAGCGAAACACCCAATCGCAACATGAGCTAGAGGAGCCGCCGCACCGGAGAGCTTGGCCGCCAATGAGTTTCGGTTTTTCATATTCTTTCGGCCAACCGAGACCCTTTAACGTGTTTATTCGCAGAAATCGATGTAAAATCGGCCGAATTCTGCCGAAAATGGCTTACCCGAGGTAGACCACCGCCGAAGCACGGCGGAGCCACCGTGTTGGATTTCTAAAATTGTCCGAGTGAGCCATGGAACTGATTTGGGTTTATTTGGAATATTTATAGGTACTATAAGCGCGTTTCAGTTTTTGAAGAAAAAATTCAGGAAATCAAGGAACCACCCGTAGACACAATAAACCGTTTAGCTCTTCGGCATTAAATCAAATAAGGATCCATCACCCTATTTCCTATCATAGAATTGAAGTTTAAATAAATAATGTGGTATTTTATGCGATTTTAGTAAACATGCATAATTAATTATGGGTTGCTAATGGAGCCGGAACGAAAATTATCTATTGTTGTTTGTTGATTGATTTTACAGTTTATATGCATGATGGTATCTGATTTATTTTATGGACTTGAACGCATGTATGTTTAATTGATGTGTTTACTGCTAACTCAGAAAAAAAGGAATGTTAAACGGTAAGAAAATTGTGTGATTTTAATGAATAGTGAAACGACAACTTTACTAGATATTCTAAGAGATTGTGGACTGATCGGGTACATAGAGAACCCTATCATGTATGCTGTCTCATACCGGATGGGGTATGGAGACCTGATAATTTGCTGCTCATACTGGACGGGGTATGGAGACGGCCCACTTCACCCTCATACCAGACAGAGTATTGAGGTTTAGTGTTTTGGTGCTCATATCAGACGGGGTATGGGGACGGTCCTGTAATTAAGATTGTTAAAGAAAATGGTTCACGTATAGCGGGGACATCCTTATAAACCCCTATAGATACTAGTAGGCTGATGAAAAGAGAAACAGTTATGGTTTGGTTTATTGTTAATGAATATGGATTTATAATACGTTCTATATTGCTGATGGTTCATGAAATTATGATCTGTATGGTATTACTATTTTTATAGGTTGTTTTCATAAATTGCACTATAGTAAGTTAATGAGAAATGATTTTATGATTGATTAATGAATTTACTAAATTTAATGCTCAATTAGTAGTTTTTAATTTTATACCAACCTTTACTTCTGTGCCGGTGATATAGTGTGATATATTTATTAGGTTAGTGTAGCTCATACTTTATTTCATATCAAGAGGATTTGGTTCCAGAGCTCGATCCGCAAGAAGATTACGAGTAGATGCTAGATATTTTCTATTTTCCATTGATTTTCTTATTTCTCTTTTTTTTCAGAGAATTAATTTCGTAATACTGTTTAGTACTTTTAAGTTATTGTGTAAGGAATGTAAACTTTAACCTTTTATTTCGTTTCCGCACTTAAATTATTATATATTTTCTTTTGGATTTCCGGGGTCGTTATAGATCGTGTGAGCTTAATATGAGTTTTATTGTGTATAAAGACTATCGATTTTATTTGGCTCGTTTAAAATAATCGGTTATGGATATTGAGTCTTAATCCATTTGATAAAATATGAGTCTCTTTTATGTGTAAAGACCAAAATCGTTATTTTTTATTTTATGATGGGTTAAATTAGAAATAATGCAACTTGATGATATAAAAAGGTGGTTATAGTCTTTGAATCACACATAGGGTTTCTTTTTCTTGTTATCCCATCAGCAGAAAAATAGAATTTAAAAGGCCACATGTCTATTTCAAAAATCTACCGTATTATGCGTAGATTTCTTCCAATACGAATTCAAGTACATTTCCGATTACAAATATAATCATTTTA